TTTTGGAGAGGTTTTTCACTATAGGGTGTGTGCACTCATCAGACAGAGAGAGACAGAGAGACAGAAAGCGAGAAATCACTCCCCAGGGGCCATGGCCACACAGCAATCCTTCTCCTCCATTCTCCTCTCAGGATCTTGGGCATGCACACACACGCGCCCGGCGTGAGTTTTAAGCCACCGGGTCTGGGACACGAACCACAGTTGACTACGTGGGAGTCCAGCGACATAGCCATTACACTAACTACTGGTCCCAAAATTCATTTTTTTACTGCCTAGAAACAGTAAGTTCTTTTAGATCCATCAGAGGTGGGTTCATATCCATTGCTTTAGCTTCATTAGGTGTTTTTCTCTTATTTATTTTGAAAGTGATGGTGCTCTGCACCAACCCAAGTAAGCTAGTAATCACCGTGACAGGCTCTAACTGGTGTAACTGGTGCAACATCCCAAAGCCACTTCCTTTTTTTTTCAATCCAGAGAGCACACATGCTAGTCAGAAAGACAGAGACAGAGGGAGGAGAAAGCACCCCCAGATGGGACATAATCATGCCACAATACTTTCTTTTCTGTTTCTCCATCCTTGCAGGGGTTTGAGGCACACACCCATCCAGCATGCTTTTCACATTGTAAGGGCAGGGATTCAAGCCACACAGTCATCCAGGGGAATCTTGTTCCCTTAGTCACCAGCCCATGCGACTGCCTGCAAAGCCCTTTCTTTAATGGGTGGGAATGGTGTCACTGGCAGAAGCACCTACCTCAGTCCCTCTTCTTGCATTTTAAGCACAAGTTTTCACCTTCCATAAAGTACGTGTACACATTCATTTCTAATAGAGTATAGTCTGGGTATGTCACTGGAATGTTTTGTGATAGCATGCCTTCCCAACCCCCGCCCAATAAATAGCAAGAGCGCTATCCTGACCAACTAGGCCCTGGGAATTTCAGCTAGAGTCAGCCTTTCAGCCTGCACTTCAGGGCTTGGAAGACAGTGCTGCTGCCAAGCATCCTTGGCTGTGATTCATCTTTTGAGAAAATCTTGGAGTGCCTTTTGGCGGGAGGCCACTCTGTGGGCAGCCTTTGCAGGTAATAGTGGAATGCACAGAGTTAGATGCACCTGGATTCCATTCATAACCAGCCTGGTGTAATGCTATAGAAATACTAAAGGAATGGCCCCAAACATCAAGGTATGTTGGGGGAAGGGCTCTTTGAATTTTGTGATATTTGAGCAGAAACTCATCTCTTCCCCCATTCTTCTCTCTCTCTCTCTCACACACACACACACACACACACACATACACACACACATATCATATGTCATAGACCAAGATTTAATTAATTGGAATGGGGCCTCCTGAGCTTGGAAATTTTTGAAGGCTCCTCAGATGATCCTAATATACTGCTAGGGCATTAATGGGCTCTCTGCAAATAAGAATAGCTTCTTTGATCTCTCTACTGAGAGATCAAAGGGCTCGAGGTTAGGTGATTAAAGGCTAAAACAAAAATTCTGTGCATTCAGAAGAGAAATTAGGGAAGGAAAATAGATATTGGGTCAAAGAATGAGACTAAGAGCCAATAAAAAAGACTGGCCAGTCTTAGAAAGGAGAGAACTCTCTTCATGAGGGACAATCATCAGTGACTTGGAGTGACTACTGAGGGTAGTCACAGCTCTCCCACTGGATGTCTTGAAACAGAAAAATAAAAATAAAGGTGACAAGTTTTGGGTGCCACTGAACTTGTCTCCTAGAAAGAATGGAGCTGGGTTTGATATGTGTCTTGGGTTCTAAAAAATCTGTCCCTTTTCTGCATTCCCTGCTTGCAGATGAATCAGTCTACACTAATGGTTGACACATAGACTCTGGAGAAAAAAGCAGAAGAGGAAAAGAAGAATCTGGGGTAGTGGTTGGCAAATGAATCGCGCAAACGAATCATCTGAGGAGCTTGTGAGAATTCAGATTTGCAAGCCTCATCCCAGGCATTTTGGTTCATTGGGTTTAGGAAAGGACTCAGAGCAGGGATGCGCCTGGACTGAGTGAGGTTGCAAGGTAAGCCTTTTAAAGTTGTAAAGTTGTAGAGCACACTAATAAACTATGATCTGAAGACAGAGTTCAAATGTAGAATCTTTTTTTTTTTTTTTTTGTTGGGTTTTTGCAATAACTGAGCTTGGAAATTTTTGAAGGCTCCTCAGATGATCCTAATATACTGCTAGGGCATTAATGGGCTCTCTGCAAATAAGAATAGCTTCTTTGATCTCTCTACTGAGAGATCAAAGGGCTCGAGGTTAGGTGATTAAAGGCTAAAACAAAAATTCTGTGCATTCAGAAGAGAAATTAGGGAAGGAAAATAGATATTGGGTCAAAGAATGAGACTAAGAGCCAATAAAAAAGACTGGCCAGTCTTAGAAAGGAGAGAACTCTCTTCATGAGGGACAATCATCAGTGACTTGGAGTGACTACTGAGGGTAGTCACAGCTCTCCCACTGGATGTCTTGAAACAGGAAAATAAAAATAAAGGTGACAAGTTTTGGGTGCCACTGAACTTGTCTCCTAGAAAGAATGGAGCTGGGTTTGATATGTGTCTTGGGTTCTAAAAAATCTGTCCCTTTTCTGCATTCCCTGCTTGCAGATGAATCAGTCTACACTAATGGTTGACACATAGACTCTGGAGAAAAAAGCAGAAGAGGAAAAGAAGAATCTGGGGTAGTGGTTGGCAAATGAATCGCGCAAACGAATCATCTGAGGAGCTTGTGAGAATTCAGATTTGCAAGCCTCATCCCAGGCATTTTGGTTCATTGGGTTTAGGAAAGGACTCAGAGCAGGGATGCGCCTGGACTGAGTGAGGTTGCAAGGTAAGCCTTTTAAAGTTGTAAAGTTGTAGAGCACACTAATAAACTATGATCTGAAGACAGAGTTCAAATGAAATTTTTTTTTTTTTTTTTTTTGAGAGGTTTTTGCTATAGGGTGCATGCACTTGCCAGAAAGCCAGAGAGAGACAGAAAGACAGAAAGTGAGAAATCACCCCCCGGGGGGATGGCCATGCCACAATCCCTTCTCCTCCATTCTCCTCTCAGGATCCTGGGCATGCACACACACATGGCTGGTGTGAGTTTAAGCCACCAGGTCCAGGACTGGAACTACATGGGAGTCTAGCAACATAATCATTATGCCAACTGCTGGTCCCAAATGTAGAATCTTGATGTTTAGGTTCTACTTGCCACCTCAGTGTCAAAGGTCTGTTCTACCTCAATACATGTGTCTTTAAAATAGCTGGAAGGCTGGATTCAATTTAGCCTTTTCTAATTTCTCAGAGCGGAGAGGAAGGAACCCATGGCTCACTACTCTTCTCTGTGCATCTGGCTTTGTTGAGGCTCCTCCATGCAGGTATGGGACATGCTAGCCCTCATGCCGAAATGTTGACTGAACACCCTCCACCCTCATGCCTAAGCAGTCACCCCTCAGGTCTAACGCTGTGGACACTGGCAAAACAGGTCTGTCTCCCAGAGGGCATATGGGGGCATGGGACTACACAGGCTGTTAGCTGGCTTGGACCATGTGGACAGACAATTTCAAGATCCCAGTTTCCAGATCTTGGTGTACAAAGGAGGTTTGTGCTCCATGTGCTCATATTCCCACCCTACAGTACAGATGCCTCTTTCCAGGAAAATGGCCAGGGTCAGAGCAGGCCCTCAGAGGTTTCCAGGGCAGGGCCTCCTTTTGTCTGAGGTATTGAACTCAGGTACCTTGGAGAGGGGGATGAACTCACATAAGGCTGGGGTGGGGTATTGAACCAGGTAACTCAGGGGTGGTATTAAACCCAGAGCTCAGGGTTGGTATTTAACCCACATAACTCAGGAGGGTAGTGAAGCCAGGTAGCTCCAATGCTGAAGCCCTGGTCTTAGAATCCAATGCCATGGAACATTGATCTCACAGTATTGACAAGAAAGAGACTTTTTGGTTGTCACTAGGTCATTATCATCCCAGAGGCACTTGGGACTGTCAAGGAAACTGTGCTTGGGGAAGCCCTGTAGCCATTATCTCTCCTCCTCCTGCTTCCAAAGGAAAGTAGGTTTTTTGTTTGTTTGTTCTTGTTTTTGTTTTTAAGAGACAGAATCTCACTATGTTGTCCAGACTGGCCTCAAACTGGCGATCCTCTAGTACAGCTGGCATTGCAGGCACCCACTGCCACTCCTGGCAGGACTGTTTTTTAATTGTATACATTGGGACGCGATAGTGGCATAGCAGTAAAATGTAAATGCTCTGTGAGGCAATCCCACATGAGAAGGCTCCTGGTTCAAGTCCAGAGACCTCCTTGAGCGTGCCAGGCATGTGCTTGTCCATTATCTGGAGCTGCTGAGGGCTGCAGTGGGTTGTGGAGGCAAGACCCTGTTGCAGTGTTCTCCCTTTCATGCTCCCTCACTTCTAGAAGAAAGAAAGAAACTTTCAAATTACACAGATTTACTGTGTACAACATATTTTGAAATGCTTACATGATAAAATGGCTAAATTGAGCTAATTAATATATGTGTTACCTCAAACACTTAGGAGTTTTTGTGATCAGAACACTTAAAATCTATGCTTAGCCATCTTAAAGAATGTGATACATTGCTAATAACGCCAATCCTTTACCTCATTCCTAATAAGTATAGGAAAGTATGAATTTTAGTACAAGTCTTGTCTTGAGTTTTAGAAAGCAGAAATAAGAAATATGATACCACATGAACATGATACTTCTGTAAAATAGCACACCTTGGCTCCCAGCTGCGACCGTTACCCATCAGTAAAAGCCCATTAGAACAAAGAGCGCCAGTAGCTCTCCAGTATATGCCTTACAGCCTTACATTTTAAAAGAAACAAGGTTTTCGGTAGGCAGTCCTTATGCTAAGTTGGGACTTGCACTGTTTCCCGGTCCCTAGCAGAATGTGTGGATGTATCCAGGAAGGTCTGTGACAGCAGCTGTCGTCCTCATCATTGCGCAGCCTCTGTCCCTGCCCAGAGAATTTCTGCTTTTTCCATTAAGCCTCTGCGACCCCAGTGAAGTCCAGATATGGCTTCAGGGAGCGATGCTACAGAAACGATGCTCCCTCAGTTCGAAAGCCAGAGCCCAGCTTCTTGACTCTGACCTCTCACATTATCATGGCAGGGAGCTTGTACTGAAGGAGAGGGGAAAATCGCCAGACATTTCTCTTAAATTCATCTGCAGGGGTCCAGATATCAGAGGGGTTTTTTTTAGTATTTATTTAATTTCATTTGTTATTATTAATTTTGCATTTGACCAGAGATAGAAAAAGAAAGCGAGAGAGCAAATTGCCAGGTCAGGGACTCAAACTGCAGTTGGTCATGAGGGAGACCAGCATCTTAACCACCATGCTACCCTGCCAGCCCCATGTGTTTGTAATTTTAATGATAAGGTAAAAAGAAGGGTTAGGGATTAAAGCAAAAGCAGGAAATGGTCATGTCAGATGTCTATAATATTATAAGCCCAGGACCAGCAGTTGGCGTAATGGCTATGTCACTGGGCTCCTATGTAGTCGACTGTGGTTAGAGTCCTGGACCCAGTGGCTTAAACTCATGCCAGGCACAGATGCGTGCATACCTAAGATCCTGAGAGGAGAATGAAGGAGAAGGGATTGCAGTGTGACCATCCACCTTGGGGGGTGATTTCTTGCTTTCTTTCTTTCTCTCTCTCTCTCTCTGTGTGTGTGTCTTTCTGGTGAGCGCCAGCACCCTATAGCAAAAACCTCTTCAAAAAAATATATATATTATATGCCTTATAAAGTTTGTAAATTTTTCTTAGTACCTGCATTTTACAAATTTACATTAATATCACTGTTTACTCAGTCCTGGTATTATAATCAGTGAATACTTTTCTGTTTTAAGTTTTATCTAAAATTACCATCCTCTTGAATGGTTCCCAGCAAAAGTGATCTTGTCAGCATTGAAGTGAGTGAATATATTTATATCAGCCAGTGTGGGTATAATATATCTACTTCAATAATTATGGATGATATAACAGTCAATTTTATGTAATATAGTCTGCAGGACATCCCAAACCTATAGAGAGAAACTTATTTTTAACAAAGTTTAGGACAGCTGGTGGCATGGTAGTTAATGTGACTGAATCCCACATGGCCAACTCTGCAGTTCAAATCCTGGACCTGGTGGCTTGAAAAACATGCCAGACATGTGCTCATGTGTACCCCAAATCCTGAGAGGTGGATAGAGAAAAAAGGATTGCAGTGTGGCCTTGCCACCAAGGGGAAGCTTTCTTTCTCACTCCCATACCCCAACAAGCACCCTTCCTTCTGGCAAATTAAAAACAAACAATAAACACAAAACCAATGAAGGAAAGAGAAAATCTTAGAGCAGTCGTTCTCAAACTTTAGAGTACACCAGAATGAAGCAGGCCCCAGAATCACATGGAGTCCTTGTGAAAACTCATGCCAGACCCCGCCCCCAGAGTTTGTGCTTGACAGTCTGTTGTGGCATCAATTACGTGCCACTCTGTGAAGCTCCCAGTTGATGCTGGGGAACCACATTTTGAGAACCACTGTTCGAGAGCTGCCAAGTGAAGTTACGTTCATATTTTTTTCCATATCTCACTGGCGAGAAGCCCTGTGGTCATGTGTTTACTTTTCATAATCCTTGGAATCAGCCTCGTGAGAGTTTACTACTGTGCTTGTATTTACCTTCCTAATTTATTATCGTCTATCATCTCGCTCTCCTCTACCACGCAAGTCCACCGGTTACTCACCTGGAGCATTTGCTCTTGGCTCGTTTGCACATTGGTGGTTCCAGTTATTTGTCAGCTAATTAAAGGCATCAGATCACGTATTCATCTACAGAAAATGTATATTATGAGAAAATTGCATGGATTTCATTTCTTTTCTTTCTTTTTTTTTTTTTTTGCTTGTACTTCAATTCTATTTTTCCATCATCTTTTTGAAGTCTCCACATATGTCTCTAGAAGCCCTAGCAGGAAGTACTGCAGGAGCCTTTGGGGTAATACACTGTCCTCTGTTTTCCCAGTGACTTCACACTTACTGCTCTGCCTCCCACCTGCTTGAGCTTTGTCCACAGTTTACATTCCTATAAAATGCAGTTTTGCTTCTCACTGTTCTAAGAATAGAGCCCTCATAAGAATAATCTGTGTTTATATACTGACTGGTCAAAAGCAGGTATTATTTTCATGCTTTGTAATATGCATTTCTCAACTGAAGTGTTTCTTAAACACGGGTGCTCATGGGCATCACCTAGATAACTTTTTTGAAAATACTGGTTCTTCCCTGTCCCACCAAGGAGTTCTCTTTTAATTGATGTGGGTGATCACCTGGGCATAGTGATCTTTGAAAACTCCCAGGTGATTCTAATACACAGACTGGTTTTAGAGCTTCTGATGAACTTTGTTTTCTGAGTTTCAAGACAGTATCGTTTTCCCATAGAGTTATTTTCAGAAACATCTATTCCTTTCTTATCTCTGGGCTTCCCATGTGTGTTTTCCTCTTGAAGTTTGCTCTCTGAAACAAGAAAACATAAATTGTTGTTTCCCTGTTGTGCAAAGCATGAACTTCATTCTGAGTCTCGGATAAACTTGCTCGCAGCTAGAAATGAAGAGTAAAAAACTCAGCTCACTTGCATTTCCCGTCTCACTGCAGCTACTCCATAAGGATTTGGAGGTAAAAATTTGTTGTTCTTGTAATTACTGGCTAGGACAGAGTTGTTTGGGGTAAATGATTCATTTTGAATCATTTAATTTTTCTTTTCTTTTTTTTTGGAGATGTTTTTGCTGTAGGGCGCTTGCACTCGCCAGAAAGACAGAGAGAGACAGAAAGTGAGAAATCACCCCCCAGGGGCGATGGTCACGCTGCAATCCCTTCTCCTCCATTCTCCTCTCGGGATCTTGGGCATGCACACACACACGCCCAGCATGAGTTTAAGCCACCAGGTCCGGGACTCAAACCGGGGTCGACTACATGGGAGTCCAGCGACATAGCCATTATGCTAACTGCTGGTCCCTGAATCATTTAATTTTGAGTGATATTTTCCCGTTTAAAAAAGTTGTACATAAAAACAAAAGTACCACCTTATTACTAAGATTTAGAACAATACCATGCCATTGAGAATGTGGTATGTATTAAGTAGATTGATTTCAGTCATGTGAAGTAGATTGATTTCAGTCATGTGAAGCTACTTGGAAATAGTTTCCATTTAATTAATTAGAAACTAATTGTTTCCAACTTAACTGATGTTGTAAATAGAAATCCTTTGATTTCTGCCCCACCCCTAAAGTTAGTAGACGGATGGATTCTGCCAAGTAGATGAGAGACTACAGGTCCCTAGGGTATACCAGAAAATAGGACTTTCTCAGTTGTCAGTGGTGGCGACAGGTTAAACTACTAACCTCTCCCATTTGATCCTTTCTTCAGGTCCTGCCTTATACCACAGAATAATGCAATATGGGATGAAACTTACACAATTTATCCATGGTAGTTTTAGCAATTTAGATACATCAGGCTACATTGTTTACTGAATCTGCTAGGAAAACATTAACAACATAATAGGATTTCTAGAGTGAGAAACCCAAAATGCAATGATTGTTCTGAGTTCAGTCATTGATGCCATGTATAAACTTGGACAGGGCCCAACAGATGGCATAATGGTTAGTTGCTGGATTTCCATGTAGTCAACCGCAATTCAAGTCCTGGACCTGGCAGTTTAAATCTCACACCAGGAAAGTGGTGTGTGTGTGTGTGTGTGTGTGTGTGTGTGTGTGCCCAAAATACCAAGAGGAGAATGGACGAGAAGGGATTGAGGTGTAGCCATCCCTGCTGGGAAGTAATTTCTTGCTCTTTGCCCCCCTCTCTCTCTGGCAAGCATGGTTGTCCTGTAGTAAAAATCTCTTTAAAAAATAAATAAATAAACTTGAACAAATAATGAACTTTTCTTTACTGCCTCCACAGGTGTAAGGTAAACTTGAAAATTCAGACCATCACTTAACCCACCTTAAATATATCTGTCTCAGGGAATGAACAATTTTAGGACAAATTTCTTATTTTAAAAACAAATTGAAGTAACATTAAAATATCTTGTTTACAAAGTTGTCATTCTTACCTAGAGATTTGAAGAATAACAGTGGCTACTATTTGTGTAGCACTTTAGGGTTTTTCAAAGTATTTTTCTACACATTCCATTATATTTCTCTTCAAATCTACAGGAATATTGGAAGAACAATAATTTATATATTTGAATTTTTTTTTAAAGTGCATCTCAGAGAGGTTAAATGAATAACCTAGAATTAAAGAGCCAGAAATCGTTGGAACTACAGAGCCACCCAGGTTTTCTAACTTCAAACTGATGTTACTGTACTAATTACACCTGTTACCTATGGCATAGTAAGTTGAGTAAGCCAAGCGGGATAAGGAAGAAAAACAAAGTTCTCAGATTGGTTGTAATTTTATCACTTTTATGAAGGATTGTATATTTAATAGCCAACTTGCCTATACTGGTACATGCATTTGGCACTACCTCAACCTTATCTAGGCCTTACCAGTAATTAAGCACAGGAACACTTGTTACGTGTGTCTATATTTGCAGTATAGAGTGATCAATTATTTTCCCTGATACTATGGGAAAATTAAACCGATCTTTTCTTTGGGTACATGACATTTCTTTCAGTTTATTCTGTGCTCTGACAACTTTTTGTTGTCCTTAAATTGGCCACTAGAGGGTAGTCTTTAGCAAGTATTATCACATACAGGACCCTGAACTGTAATTGGAATCATTTCCTGTGCACTAAGGCTGTTTTCCCCCAAGTGAAAGAGGCACAGAACAATGAGTCTGTTGTCTTTCTGTTTTGTTTTCTAATGAATACACTTCCCTTCACTCTATATAGCTTCACTTCCAGATATTGAACAGTTCTTACTCTTATATTTATCCTGTCCTTAATTAAGTGATAGAGTGTTTTAAATCCTGTCTTTGATGGAGTTTTGGTCTAAATTATTGAGAGGCAAAGGGGGTCTGGTTTTAAGAAATCACTTTCTGGGGAAGCTCAAGAACAATAGGCATAGATTCCTCTGCTGCCCTCTTCAGAAGCAATTGGGAATGTGTATCCAGCAGTAATTTGCATAGAACCCAGTACTTCCTTTTATATTCAAATCATCCATCATCCAAGACTGTCTTCACACTGTATTGCAAACATCTACCCTGGACAATCCAGTAGGTGTCTTTTCTCTGCCTTAGCTAAGACTTCTGATTCCTCCAGTAAAAGCAAAGCCATCAAAAATTTGTTCATGCAGGCTGCTTGCCCAATATGATCCAAGGGTTTACTAAATTCTATTTATCGTTAGTCACCCAAGCATAGAATCTGAAAGTCACCTACAGCCATTTCCTGTTCTTTTTGCTCCCAGTGAGTGTTGATTCTTTTGATACCGTAAGTTTTCTGTATTAATTCGTTTTAACAACCAAACCTGCATTTCAGGTTCTCATTCTTTACACACCCCATCAAAAGCAAAATGTCATCCCTTATTCTATTCAGTAAATGAAGTCATTCAACTTCTCAGGCTCTCCAAAAACTCTTTCCATACACTCTTACTGCACGTTCTTATTTCCTTCAAGTTTCCTCCCTCACGGCTGAACACAAGCATTTATATAACCTGTCCTCAGAAAAGCTTTTCTGATCATTCTTTGAAATGAAAAGATCTTCAAACAGACTTTGAAGTTATCAGAGGAACTGCTCACCTGCCTAGCGTCGGGGGGTGGTAAGGTGGAAGGTCGCTTGGGTGTGTGAGTATGAACTTTCGGTTGCTTGAGGACAGCAGGAAGCTGGGGTTCTGGTTGTTATCACATTAAACTTCAGTTAAAGTTCAGGTTTTTATTGTTTGTGGCATATGGAAATTTTCCACATGGGGTCAACTGGGTTTACCCTATTTCCCAAGGTCTAGATAAAATTGACTCAAATCCCTACTGTATAGATTGTGTCAAGTCCTGTGTTCTCTCCAGAGCTTTGAATAATTCCCAGGGGATTTAGAGTCTGTTTCTCAATCACAACAGGCCCTGATTATAGCAGCTACCAGATCTCCCTTGTCATCTCATAGAGGCCAAAGGGAGAACAGAGTCCTTCATTAACTTTCCCAACTACCAACCTTCCCTCAACCCCTACAAGAGAAAAAACATTTTCAGATATGCTATTTATTTATACGTGTGCACACTTTACTGTTGATTTGAGGGAATGGAAGACATTTATATTCACAAATAATGTAAAATGGGCTAGCATTTAGATATTTGTATTCTTTAAAAGGGAGTTACTGTGGGGACAGATGGTGGCAGAGTAATGAAATAGGACAGTGGAACGCTAACTCACAGGAGAAAGTTCGAGGTTCATGTCTGGAGATAGTCCTGAGTACTTTGGGTAAGCAAGTGCCCATGTTTTGGGGCTGGCTGAGGCTGGGAGTGGATTGCATCTTAAGACCCTGTTGGGTATTTGCTCCTTCTTTGCCTCTCACTCATGGAATAAATATTTGAGGACATTAGAGACACCACCAAAGCCCTGCTCTCTGATTTCCAGCATGTACAACTGCAAGGAAATAACGCCTGTTGTTTAAGCCACCTGCCCAATTAGACCAAGCTATTTCCTGATATAATTTCTCAAAGTGTAGCATACCCTTCCTTCACAGGGACTATTAGAGACTAAAAAAGTACACATGAGAATTTGTGATTTTTTAAAATGTTTTAAAATAAGAGAGTTACCTAGTCATTTCTTTCTTTTTTTTTTTTTTTAAGAGAGAAATTTTTGCTAGACAGTGCATGTGCTCACCTGAGAGACAGAAAGAGACAGAGAGACAGAAAGCTAGAAATCACCACGCCCCCTCAGGGGAGATGACCACACTGCAGTCCCTTCTACTTCATTCTCCTCTTGGGATCTTGGGCACACACGCAAGAGTTTTAAACTGTGAGTTTTAAACCGCCGGGTCTGGGACTGGAAGCATGGTCAACAATGGGAGTCTAACAATGTAACCATTATACCATCTACTGGTCCCCCTAGTCATTTCTGTAGTGAAGGTGCTAGCCTTCATTTTTGCCTGGCTTCTATCATACCTACCCTTTTATAGTTTTCCTTGGCCAAAAGTTATTTATAGCTTTCCTTGTCCAAAAGTTATTCAACAATTCATATCCAAATTGTTCATGTTTAATGGCTTTAGCACTTTACCTCTCTCCTACTCTATCCACCTTTTAACTCCCAGACCTACATAGGTGCTCAGCAGAATAAAATGGTCTTTTATTTAATAGCTCCATGTCCTTGATAGAAAGTATTTTGGGTTATAAACAATTTATTTATTTATTTATTTTGGTCCTGACATGGGGTACAATGAATTTTGCCATTCTGCTCATATTTAATCTGAAAATTTCATATAGCCAATCTTAGCATT